CAAGCCAGTAATTACACCGGGGAAAGAAAGAGCAACCCCTCCTCCCCCCGTCACCCTCACCCTCCCCCCCCACACGCGTCTCCCCTAATATGTAAAATTTGTCACAGTTCTTCGTCGGGCGAGGATTGCACCGTGATTACGCCCGCGCCTGCCTGGGCCCTTCTCGCTCGCCTCGTCATTAGGGGCGCCGTCCCACGCTCTCCTTCGCCACCTTCGTCACCTTCATGTCAGCTATTTGTTCTTCTAATTCTAGTATCTTCCCTATTCCACATCCCGTAAAAAAATGGAAATAAGAAACGTGGAATTCCGTGCCGAGATATTCAACAGATGAAGAATCCAAGGCTAGTCCTCGGCGCCTCCCATTTTTGCTGGCTCTAATTTCATAGTCGAAAAATAATTATGCATTTGCAAAATAAGCGGGAAAAGTCTACCCAACTTAATGTCTAGTTGTCGGATAATTCCTGTGGCGGGAAAAAAAGAAAACGATATTTATCGACGGCTACTTTGTTCCCTCTTCCTTGTCTGCCTTCTCCTTCCTCTAATCTATATAAACTTTTTCCTTTTTCCCATTCCCTCCTTCTCTCCATAAGTATTCTTGATTCATTTTTTCAACATTCTTCTTTCCTCTCCTCTTCTCCGATTCACACCCTCCCTTCCAATTCATTCTCTCTTCTTTCTTCCTTTCCCTTCCATCTGTCCCCACCTTCCCCCCCTCTATTCCCTATCGCCGCCGCACAGCCGCGTCCCGGGCCGACGACCACCTCCGGGAGAATCCATGGCGTCGCGCACGCACCAGGTCATGGCACGGCGACTTTATACCTTCGTCCTTCGCCGTCCCTTGTAATTTCGACGGACCTCCCCTCTCCCCGAATCGCACGCCCCTTGTAATCGCAGGCGCCGAGAGTGACCGCCTTGTCGCCGTGGTCATGCCGCAACTACCCCCCCCCCCCCACCATTCCTTCCCGCCCACGCCCCTGCGCCGCGTCCACGCCCTGGCCAGCCTCGTCGGCGATTGACGCCCTCGAACACACACGGTCATTTTCCGCCCGTCAACACGTCAATGGATCGGATCATCAATCTCTCTCGAGGGGCGAGTAAACATGCCTC